GATGCCTCCTCCGTCACAGTGGCAGCGGGGGCCTGGCATAGCGCTCTTCGCGGGCTGCCTGGCGTCGAGGCGACCTCGATGACCTCGGCGTGGTGGTCGAGGACGCTGTCGAGAACTATGACATGCGTATTGCAAGTGAGACTGGCTGTGGATACCCCTGCAGCTGATGGTCGAGAATGTAGTGCGTCCCGCTGGCTTCTACACAGCTTGATGGCAGAGACGCCCTCTTCTCCGCCATGTTGGACTGCTTCGCGGCTTTCGCCTAGCTGTCCTGAGCGGGGCTCCCTGACGTTGTCGTCGGGCCTGCGCTCGTCAATCTCCGCCTCGATGCTCGTCTCCCTCGATTCTCCGCCTCGATGCTCACCTCCAAATTGGGGTTGAATTCCTCTTGGCCCCCTTGTGGTTGAGCAGTCTTCGTCGCAGACATGCGTGCAAGCCCTGCTCTGGATGGGCGGGCTGTCGTTGTCGTGGGTTTGCTGCTGGGTGTAGCGTGCGAGCGGAGGCCCCAGACCGCCAACCTCCGTCGCGATGACCTGCCGTGGTGGTGTCTGCTGGGAGGGGCGCAGGTGCCCCCCCCCCCCCCTCCCCTGGGCCGCCCCCAGGGGCGCGCCTCGTTGGAAGATACCTCCGCGGCGCAGTCGCTGCTGACCGCGCCGAGTCGTCCCATGTGGTTGACCGTTCTGTCTCCGGAGTCCGCGACACCGTCGCCCGCGTCGACGACGCGGACCTTCCCGGCGCCTTTGTGGGGGCGCGCGTCGAAAAAGCCGACCACGATGGCGGCCTGCTGCCTTCTCCAGCTGCACCCGCTTTCTTCCTCATGACTCCAAATGCGCCGCCTCCTGGTGGTCCTGCCGAGGCGGCCCTGTCCTGCCGCCGTGGGATCGTGGCTTCTGGGTCCAAAGACTTCGTCTCCGATAGGTCGTCCTGCGGGCTCCGCAGTTCGTTCGCAGCCTGTGTGGGGGAGCATGCCTTTGGATGCTCCGACCGTTTCCTCAGGCGTCCTCCTGGGGTCTCCTCTTCTACTTCGCCCTTATTGATCCTCCCCGACATGGCGTCTCTCTCGGCCTGCTCCTTCTCGGCTTTCTCCTGCGCCATCTCGACTTCTGCAGCGATAGCCTTGTCTTCCTCCTCTTTCTCTTTCTGCTTGGTTTCGTATTGCTCATCTGCTTTCTTCCTGTCATCCTCCTGCTGCTCGATTAGCGTCGCAGCTCCTCCTCGACTACGGCGTCTTGGAAGTCGTCGGAGTCTGGGGTGCTCCACGAATTGGATATAAGGGTCGGTGCTACCGACGCCCACCTATCGGTCTCCTCCTGCCTCATGGCCCTCTCGTGCTCTGCCTCTGGCAGCTCGGCGTCGCACAGCTCCTGCTCGTCCACGGCTGCCGCGATAGCCTGGTCGATATCATCCTCTTTGCTTGTCCGCCGCATCCGCTGAGGCGCTCGTTGGAAGGAGACATCGGGAACGTCCTTGAGCTTTACGTACGGGACTGCGGGCGCACCTCCTCTCTCTCCTTCTGCTGCCCAGCTCTGCCACCGCACGTCGTCGGCGATCGAGAAGGTGTTTGGCATATAACCTCGTCTCTGGCAGCTCCACGCTGGGTCTGCTGCTGGCGCGCCGCCCCCCTCGCGTCCTCCTCCTCCTTCTTCGTTTCCCCCGCCGCCTCCAGGTCGGCGCTGATGTTGCGATCCAGTGCTGCAATGAGGTCCACGTCCTCCGCGGCACGTCGACTGGCACGCTCGAGCTGGCTCTTGCAGCATGCGCGCGCCGCGTCCCTCTGCCTAGCCTTCTGCGCGATGGCTTCCCTCACGCCCCATGTCCCCCTGCGCTTTGAGCTTGCAGCCTTTCTCGCCTCCTCCGCGTTCCTCTGCGCCGCCGGGGCCTGCTCGAACTGCTGCTGGGCCGTGCACGGCTTGTCGTGATTTCTCGTCGTCGCCGTCTGTGTCGCCCTCGTCCGTGTCCGTGAGCTCTCTGGCGACGTTCCTCATGTGGGACTTTCTATCCTACCATTTGTCGAGCTCCGTTCTCCACTTGTCATACTCCTTCTGTGCGATGTATATCTGCCGTTCTATGTACGCTATTTCCCTCGTCGTCTCCTTCCTTCGCCTGTGCTTGGGGAGCATACTCACAAGAGCGAACTTCAAGGCTGCGATCTCTTTGATGATGTCCGTTCCGTCCTCTCGCGCGGCTTCTGCCGCAACCAGGAAAAGCCCGAGGTCGTCTAGCCTCTTCTCGATCTGCTGCTTCTGCAGCGCCATGTGCTTGCCCTCCATCGGCTCTTGGAAGGCTTCGTGGGCTCTTGCTGCCGACGGCGTCGCCATCAGGATTTGCTCGAAGATCTTGTTCAGCTCCTTGGGGTTGGCGACGCTGGAGCTGGCGGTTCCGCCCCCAGCGCGTCCTCCTCTTCTGCCCTCTTCCTTGCTTCCGCCGTGATCATCGTCTCGTTCGCTCCTCCTGGCGCTTGGCGGGCGCGGTCCTCTCTTCCTGCTGGGCGTCCTCTTCTCCTCGTGCCGACGCCATGGCACGTCTTGCTTCCACTGGGCATCCTGCTGCTCTTTTCAGCTGCCCTTTTGCCAAGTTGCCCACGTCCTGCTGGCCATCTCGGCGTCCTCCTGCTGGTGCTGCTGCCGCCGCGCGGAGTGGTGCTGGGCCAGCACCTGCGCGGCGGTGCGCAGCCTCAGCAGCACCCTGGACTCCGCACGCCGCTGCCTGGCGCGGCGATGCCAGGCGGGCTCGCCGACGGTGCGCGACGTGGCGGCCGCCTCCAGCGCGGCCTGGCGGGGGGGCAGGCGTCCGCGCTCGCCGCCTCCTCGCAGGTGGCGGGGCTGAGGGGGGCCTCGACCGTCTTGGGGCCCTCGGCCCCGCCCTCGGCCCCGCCTCAGGCAGCTCGGTGGCGCGCGGAGGGGTCGGGCGGCTGCAGCGGCTGCCGATCGCAACCGCCGCGGCGCGCGGCCACGAGGGCCAAGGGGCGGGTCGACGACGACGACGGCTGGCCCCGCTCGCCTCAGCCCGTGGCCCTCCTCCTCCTCCTCCTCCTCCTCCTCCTCCTCTCCTCCTCCTCCTCCCCTCCTCCTCCTCCCCCTCCTCCTCCTCCTCCTCCTCCTCCTCCTCCTCCTCCTCCTCCTCCTCCTCCTCCTCCTCCTCCTCCTCCTCCTCCAGGGCGCGAGGGGGGGGGGAGCCTCTGCGAGCCCGCGCGTGCACTGCCGGGGGTGGCGGCCCACCCATCGGCCACTCTCACCAGCACAGGGGCACGCGTGGGCATCGCGACGGGCTCCAAATCCGAAGAGGCCTCATGGCCTCATCATTGACGTGTCTCTCGTTGGCGTGCAATCTAGGCCCAGACCTGTGACGTCCTGATTTTTTGTTCCGGACGGCGTCCCCGGAAGTCCCGACCCCTTTCCCGGGACCGTTTTTTCGTTATGAGTCGTTTTTGGACGATCCCGAGGCCCGGCGAGGGCCGCCTGGGGCCGAAAATAGCCAAGAGCCTCCCGTCCTGATTTTTTAACGACGCGATCATGTCTGGGGGCGTAGTAGCATGTCCTCTCCCTTCGCGCCGCGAAAACAACCCCGACGGGAAGTTGTTGGGGCTACCTTCCGGCCTCTGGGGGCCCTCGCGGGGGCATGGGACCGTCGAAGGGTTTTCTCGATGACCGAGGATCAAGGAGGATCGAAGAGGACGAGGAGGAGGAGGACGAGAAGGAGGAGGAGGATCGAAGAGGACGAGGAGGCGGAGGAGGAGGAGGAGGCGGATCGAAGAGGAGGAGGAGGAGGATGAGGAGGAGGAGGAGGAGGAGGAGGAGGAGAAGGAGGAGGAGGAGGAGGAGGAGGAGGACGAGGAGGAGCAGGAGGACGAGAAGGAGGAGGAGGAGGATCGAAGAGGACGAGGAGGAGGCGGAGGAGGAGGCGGATCGAAGAGGAGGAGGAGGAGGAGGAGGAGGAGGAGGAGGAGGAGGAGGAGGAGGAGGAGGAGGAGGGGCTGGCCCCGGGGAATGGGTCGAGACCCCCGATGGTCAGCGCTGTGAAAAACAGGACGCCAGGAGTCTGGGATCCCAGACCCACTCGAGTAATGAAAAAAAATGACGGGAGGTTATTCGCTATTTTCGGCCCCTGGGGGCCCTTGCCGGGCCTCGGGACCGTCAGAAAACGATTCAGGATGAAAAGCCGGTCCTGGGGAGTAGGTTCAGACCTCGGGGGGTCGACGTAACGAAAAAATCATGACGTCGGATGTCTGAGATGGCCGGTTGTTCCTTTGAAAGCCTGGGCCTTTTCAGAAGAGCCTGGAGGCTTCCAGGAAGGCTTCCCAGAGGCACGGATGGCATCTAGGCTTCTCAGAACTTCGAACGCCGCCCTCCTCGCACCACCCTCTTTCCTGAGATCCGACGTCGCGAAAAAGTTGCGACATCGTTAAACATTCCGACCGGACCCCACCTTCCTGATGCATGCCTTTGCGAGCACAGCCCGAATCTTAGGCTGTGCGCGCCGCCAAGAAGCTTCAAAGGCTGCGGCGGGGGGGCTCGTCACGGAAGGGGCTCGTCACCCAGACATGCGACGTCTTGATTGTTTCAGGACGGCTCCTTTGGAAGTCCCGACCGTTTTCCCGGGACCGGTTTCTCGTCCTGAGTCGTTGTTTGACGGTCCCGAGGCCTGGCGAGGGCCCCCTGGGGCCGAATGTAGCAATGAATTGCAGTTCTGATATTACCACGACGCGATCATGTCTCATGGCGCCACCATCGCAGAGCGGATTTTGTTCGGAAAACGATAGGACGGGCCCGGAGTGTCCTGGAGAATTTCGTTCTGGATTTCGATGTGAATGTCGTGCGGATTGTTTTGGCCAGGAATGAAAACCAAAAAGAATCCACGCGAAATCCACGTCGTTTTTCACTCGCCGTTTCGGGGTTTTGCCTTGGCAGAAATCCACGCGAAAATCCGCTGCAGCACGTCTGCAAGGTCGGTGCAGCGACATGTCTGAGCACGGAAGGGTTGGGCTCGGCCGCACCCCTGAGGTACCCCTGCGACTCCATGGAGCTGGACGCCGTCGCCGCGCAGGCCGCCGGGGCGGGGGTGGTCGCGAGTGTGCCCATCGACCTCCTCTCGGCCGCGAGCGAGAGGGGGAAGTGAGAAGGAGAAGGTTTTTTCAGAAAGAGCGCGTTTTGTGGTCGCTTGGAGGGGGGAAATTAGAGAATCGGACCCCCCCTGGATGGAGGTCGGGGGGGTTCGAATCCCCTCCCTTTCCTCACCTACTTCTCTCTCCCTCTCCTCGGGCCGGCGCCTGCGTCGGCGGCGGCTGGCGGCGGCGGCGGGGACGACGATTTCCTTTTCTGGGCCAGCGCCGGCGCCTGCGGCGGCGGGCGGCGGCGGGGAGCATCGACGAGGACGACGGTGGTGGTGGTGGTGGGTTGTGATGGTGGTGATGGCGGTGGTGGTGCTTATGGTGGTGGCGGTGTGGTGGTTTGTTGTGGTGGTGGTTGTGGTGGTGGCGGGTGGTAGTGGTGGTGGTGATGGTTCAGTGGCGGTGTGGTGGTGGTTTGTGGTGGTGGTGGTGGGTTGTGGTGGTGGTGGTGGTTTGGCGGTGGTGTGGTGGTGATTTGTGGTGGTGGTGGCGGTGGTGGGTTGTGGTTGTGGCGGTGCTTTGTGGAGGTTGTGCTGGTGGTGATGGTGGTGGTGGCGGTGGTGGTGGTGGTGGTGTGGTGGTTTGTGGTGGTGGTGGCGGTGGTGGTGGTGGTGGGTTGTGCTGCCGGTAGTGGTGGTGGTGGTTGCGGTGGTGGTGGTGGTGGTGGTGGTGGTGTGGTAGATTGTGGTGGTGGTGGTAGTGGTGGTGGGTTTTTTGTGGTGGTGGTCGTTATGGTGAGTTGTGGTGGCGGTTGTGGTGATGGTGAGTTGTGGTGGTGGTGGTGGTTGTGGTGGTGGTGGTGGTGGCTGTGGTGGTGGTGGTGGTGGTTGTGTGGTGGGTTGGCGGCGTGGTGGTGGGTTGAGGCGGTGGTGGTGGTGGTAGTGGTGGTCATCGTCGCTACGACCCCGCCGTCGCCGACGCCAGCGCCGGCGCTGCTGGCCGCCCCCATCGCCGGCGCCGGCGCCACCCTCCCCTTGGGCTGCCTCTAGTCTTCGTCGCTGCGTCCCCGCCGTCGGCGCTGCTGGCGGCCGCGCTGGCGCCGGTGCCAAAGGGGGGAGTGGGTTTGAACCCCCCCACCTTGGAGGGGGGCGGGGTCGGGAGGGGGGTGTTTGGGGGGAGGGGGGTCCCCTTGGTTTTGATCGACCGCGCCGAGTGTTTGGGGGGCCCCCCCCGGTTCGAAACGCGCCGCCGAATGTTCCCAAGGCAAGCGCCCGTGAGACGCGCTCTCTCCTTTGTCAGAAGGCTCGGAAGTCCCCAGGCCTTCTGAGAATTTTCTCAGCCTTACCCGAAGACGCAGAAAACATTTCAGAAGGCGCGAGGGTTTCTTGGAAGTCCCGCCGCCTTCTGAGAAGGCCTTCTTCTTCTTCTTCTCACTTCCCCCCAATCGCTCGCCGCAGATCCTCTCGCGGCCGGCAAATATTTGCTACCATGTGCGAATCTCACCCCATGGACCCCCTCGCGTCGCAAAGAAATCACGACGGGAGTTTTTGTTTGCTATTTTCGGTTTCTTGGGATTGTCACCGGGCCCCGGGATCGTCGGCAAAACGATTCAGGATGGAAAAGCCAGTCCCGCGGAATTGGTCAAGACCTCTGTGGATCGACGTTTTGAACAAGTCATGACGCTGGGGGTCTGGGCAAAGCGGGCCCATTGACACTGGGGAATCGGACACCCCCTCACTGGTGTTCACTTGGCTGCAGACATGTCTCGAATTCTGAATCCCAGCCACTTTCCCGAAATTTGACCTGCGGGGGAAGGGTTCACATGCGCAGTTGCCCAACGACAAACAAATCTCCGACAACATGTTTGTTTCGTTCCTGGCGTGTCTTCAATTGTGACCTCGAGGTCTGATTTTGAGGCTCTGGGACAGTCAGACATGGATCTGGGACGGAGAGCTACCCTACCCCAGCGGCCGGGACCTCTGAAGCCACGGACTGAAACCTGGCCGATTGGTTCGGGCGGGTGGTACTGGGGAGGTAACCTGAATGGCGGGTGAAGAAAGTGGTCCTCGAGGGGCACTTCAGGGCCCCTTTTGAAACCAGCCGGTGCCCAACAGGGCCACTCGAGGCCCTGTTCTTCACACCCCATGCCCAGACGTGCGACGTACGGGGCCCCTGGAAGTCCCGACCCCTTCCCGGTCCCGAGGCCCGGCGAGGGCCGCCCAAGGCCGGAAATAGCCAAAAACTTCCCGTCCTATTTTTTTCCAACGACGTGATCATGTCTGGGTGTGGGTCTCCCCCCCATTGCCGCCCGCCCGAACGGCTCATCCTGGGCCCGGGATCGGACCGGCGAGCTCCTGGCCACCAGGCCGTGCGTGGTGCATGCAGCGCTGCGTTCTGCGCGGGGGGGGGGGCCCGGCCAAGGCCCGCGCTCGGGGGCACGTCCCAGGCCCCAGGGGGGCCGTGCAGGGAGGGCTCGGGGTTAGGAGCTGGCCCCCAGGGGCGTTATCCACAGACATGATCGCGCTGTGTTTAAAAAAAACAGGACGGAAGGTTTTTGGCTATTCCCGGCCCCGGGAGGCCCTCGCCGGGCCTCGGGGCCGTCAAAAAACGGTTCAGGACGAAAAACCGGTCCCAGGGAAGGGGTCGGGACATCCAGGACCGCCGTCTTGAAAAAAACAGGACGTCGCATGTCTGGGTCGGGATCCCGCAAATGGGGGGGGGGCCTCGGGGCGTGTGTGAGTTCGATCGGCGTGTGCACCGAGCCGCCCGAAAACCCATGCCCCCCGAAGACGCCGGCAGCTCCCGATCGTTGCCGATGGGTAGGGCATGCGGGGGGGCATCTGTTTGCAACAGCTCGGTGCCCCAACGGATCGGACCCATGCCCCCCCCACAGGGCCACCCCCCCCCTGATGGAGCCCGAGTCTAGACCTCAGGGGGTCCACGCTGTGAAGCAGCAGTTCAGCAATACGTCGGCCGTGTGCTTCGGTCGCAGCGTGTGCCCCCCGAGGCCTGCATCCCTGGGAAAGGCGTTCCGTCCCGGGTCGTTGTTTGACGGTCCTGGGTCCAGTGAGGGTCCCTCGAAGCCCTCCCGTCGTGATTTTTGTCGCGACGAGCGCCCAGACATCGGGTGTCCTGATTTTTTCAATGCGGGGGGCCCTGGAAGTCCCGATCCTTTCCCCAGGGCCGGCTTTTCGTCCTGGCTTGTTCAGTTGACTGTCCTGGGGCCTGGCGGGGGCCCCTGCAGGGGCCGAAAACATCGACGCCAGACCTCAGTCCTGATTCTTTCAAGGCGCTGGATGTCTGGGTTGAGGAATGGGGCCCTCCTGAGCTTTCTCCTCCTGTCAAAATCAAAGCCTCGCACATGGGGTCAGAGCAGATGGGGTCAGAGGACCGCGCCGCATCGCCGCTGCATCGGTAATGCGGCTTGATGCGGAGCTTGATTTCCTCCACGCCGACGTCGCCGATGCATTGGCGATGTCGCGCGATCTCCTGCTGCTCGAACCCCGTCTGGGATAGGTCGGGTGTGTCCTCATACAGACGGATTCTGGGCGAAAATTGAGAATACCCCCAAGAATAGGCAAAAACCATAGAACAAACAAAAGGAAATTGTCCCCTAACTATGGTTTATTTATTTATTTATATATATATATATATATATATACATATATTTATATATATATATATATATATGAAAGAGCGTGTTCTACCGCTGCTGGCGGAAAACCGAGGGGGTCACTACCGGTTCGAACCCCTCTACCCCCCCCCCCCCTCTGGAAAACCGGGGGGGGGTCACTACCGGTTCGAACCCCCCCCTGCGGACAGTGGTGGGGACGGTGATGGTGGGGACAGTGATGAGGGGACAGCGGGACAGTGGTGGGGACAGTGGGACAGTGGTGGGGACGGTAGTGGTGGGGACAATGGTGAGGACAATGGTGGGAACAGTGGGGACAGTGGGACAGTGGGACAGTGGTGGGGACGGTGGTGGTGGGGGACAGTGGTGTGGGGACAGTGGGAATGTGGTGGAAACAGTAGGACAGTGGAGGGTACAGTGGTGGTGGGGACAGTGGTGAAGGCGGTGGCGAGGACGGCGGTGGGACAATGGGACAGAGGTACAGTGGGGACAGTGGTGGGGACAGTGGGGACAGTGGTGGGAACAATGGGACAGCTCAGTGGTTCGAACTGGTAGTGACCCCCCCCTCCGGTTTTCGAGGGGGGGGGGGGTTCGAACCGGTAGTCGAGCTCGAGGGGGGGGGGGTTAGGGGATGGGGGGGGGGGGGTTTGCCGGGGAAGGGGGGGGGGGAGGGGGGGGGGGGTTCCAGCAGGGGGGGGGGGATTTTCGGAGGGGGGGGGGGGACCCCGGGTCCGGAGGAAAAGGGGGCAATTTTCCACAGTAAAGCGGCGGTGGATCACGCTCTTTTCATATATATATATATATTATATATATATATATATCCTGTAGAGGGACACGCCCGACTTGGGTCTGGGAGGCCCCTACGAAAGCCGCCTCGTGCAGGAGATGATGAGGCGTGCGGACGCCGAGCGGGCATCGGCGCTCGGCAGCAGCGCCTCCGCCCCGGGGCGCCCGAGCCGCTGCAGCGGGGGCGCCCTGCTGCCCGACGTCGCCATGAGCCTCGAGAGCTTCTTGGAGGAGGAGGTCCCCGCGTTCCCGTTCTCCAGGCGGGGCCCACCCCAGATCTCCCACGGTCTGATCTTGTTCGACGTGGGAGCTTTTTTCCGCGATCCCACGGGACCATCAAGAGTGGATAGGGGACGGAAAACTACGCATTGTTCATTTCTATAACTCTTCGAGGGTTCTTTGGTTTTTTGGGGAGCCAAGATCCTTTCATTTCTAATTCTTCTATCCTGGGCCTCTTCCTGACCACTAGGGGGCCAGGAAAAATTAGAAACGAGCACAATTAGAAACGAGCACGCTTAGAAATGAACGACGTGCACCCCGGGGGAACCAGTCGGGACCTCTGGTGCCGCGGATCGAGAGAGTCAGGTCGGCGGATGTCTGGGATCCCTATCCGATCGGTTCGATCCTATACATTGGTTCGGGCCGGCCGGATCCGATTCGATTCTGAGGTGTTGCCGATTTGGTGCGGCTTTGTGCTCGCACTGCGCTGTCGTGCATCCTGGCGCAGCCGGTCCGATTCGGTTTGGGCTCCGCGCCGGTACAGACGGATCCAACGCACATTCCGATTCGATCCGCGTTCTCGGCTATACGAAGACTGCTCCTACCAGGGGCACCAGATGCCAGTGATCGGAGGCCCTGGCGATGCGGCGCCCCGTGGAGTGCGGGGGGCGCAGCAAGTGAGGGTCGGGGCACGGGGGCGCAGCTGCGTGATGAATTGGGGCCCTGCCAGGTGGCCTGCACGTTGGGCGGCAGAGGGAGTGGGTCCTGCAACACGGATCCGAGCACGAGCCCACCTCCACAGTGGGCATCTCTACAGTGCCACCACTGCCTGCCCAGAGCCATCGTGGGCCCAAGGCCCCAGGGCCCTGGTGCATGCACATCTGTATGCACGTGCATACATCTAGATCGACCTCCAGAGGGCCGCGGCCAGGCGTGGCGTCAGCGTCCACTCCTCCCTCTCCCATGGCGCATGTACAGGTCGGCGGGCGCCAAGGGCACACCTGCACCCAGGCCCACGGTCGGTGCACTCCTCCTTCGTGGCCAGGCCAGGAGGGCGGTATGCACCGACCTTGGGCCCAAGATGGGCCTGGCCAGGATTGGTGCAGGTGCGTGCCTGGCGTCCTCCTAGCAGATGCTGCCCCCCGCGCCAGCGAGGACGTGCCCGCCAGCGTGTGTTTCACCACCCACCAAGCCACTCCCCAACCCAACCTTAAGGCCCCAGTTTGCCCTCCATATCCAGTGGTGGTGGGGGGGCCAGGGAACATTGAAAAAACACATATGGAACCCGCACCCCCCCAACCCGAAATTCGGGTCTTCGGGTTGGGCTGGGGTGGTCTGGTAGGTAGCCAGTGATATTCTTTCTGCTCCAGAGATTGCCGGAGCCGCCGGGCGAAGCCTCGGCGACGTCGATCCTCGTGCGCCGGCCGCGCCCACGGCAGCGCTGCGGCCGCGCGGCGGTGTGTACATAAGCCCCCTGCGACCCGAACGAGCACAAGAGGTTGCGCGCCGTGTTGTCCTAGGACTCCTCGATGGGGTCGGAGCAGATGGGGTCGGAAGATCGCGCCGCATCGCCGATGCATCGGCGATGTGGCTCGATGCGTGGCCCAAGTTTCTCAACGCCGACGTCGCCGATGCACCGCCGACGTCGCCAGTGCATCGCCGACACATCGCCAATGCATCGGTGATGCATTGCCGATGTGTCGGCGATACGGCGAGATCCTACGACCCCATCTACTCGGACCCCATCTAGGAGGCCTCTATTTCCCCACCCTCGTCGCCCTGGCACCTGGCGATAATGCTTCCAGCATCTCGAGGAAGGAGCAGCAGGCACCCCGACCCACATGATCAGTGTTTTGCGAAGCAACGTTGTTTGTGTTACTACGAAACCCTGTCCCGCTCGATTCTGTCCTGGGGCGCGTTTACTTACGAACGGCTTCGCTCGTATGTGTGATCAGTATGAGGGTAGGTCAGAATTGAGGGGGCCGAATGGTCATTCGTTGTCCCTAGGTGCGCGGCTGAAGTGGGACTCGGCGGCGCGAATTCTGCTTGTTACTGCGTTGTTGTCGTCGTCCTCGCCCGCGACCCCCGCGACTCAACCGCGACCCGCTCCGCGACCCGCCCGCGACCCACCGGCGACTCATCCCGCGACCCACCAGCGACCTACCGGCGATCCACCCCTCGCCCGCTCCTTCACTCTTATCCGCACTTGCGGGTTGCTAAGTATTCTGTCCTCTATATTGGATGTCAGCTGACGACATGCACATACTTACACTGTAAGTGCCTCGCTCTGATTTGTTGCATCGGTGGTGGGCCCCCCCGCCCCTGGCACGCTCGTGGAGAGGGGGCGCCAGCGCCGACCCAAGAAATCTGCACGGCCCTCCGGAAGCTTATTATTTTGTATGTTTCGTGCCTCCCCTGTGCCTCCTCCCGCTTCTCTTGCAGCTGGCGGCGCCTCTCATCTCAGTGCTCGTTCGGTCAGAGGCCAGTCAACCTGGCCACCCCATTGGTGGACCAGGGACCCATGTTGAGACGCCATGGGCCGCCCTCCAGGTATGATTGTGATGCTGCGTCGTCCCGGAGGTAGACCAGGGGTGGTCGAGCCTTTCCTCCGCAGGACACTGCATTTCCGCGCGAACTGTCAGGAGCGCTCCGTGATGCAATGCCATGCAGGCGCTCCGCCGCGGACGCGAGATGGGGAGAAGATGCCGAAAAGCGCCGCTTCTCACCTCGCCCTCCCATCCGTCGGCGGCGCGCTGAGGGGGGAAGAGAGAGAGAGAGAGAGAGATAAGACAGGCCTTCTCAGAATGCTGCAAGGGCCCTGTGAGCCTTCTGAAGGCCTGCACTCCTTCGGGCGCCCAGTGGTCTTTGCGGCATAGCTCGCCTCCCGGCGGGACGATCCAGGCATCCCCAGAACGCTGCTGGGCGCAGCTGCTGGAAAGCAGCCTGATGTTCGAAAACCGCCGCGAACCGGCGCAAACCGGCTTTCACGTCCGAAAGCCTTGATGCTCGACCCTCGAGCCCCCTTTGTCTTTTCCCTTTCGGACGGGGCTAGGACGAGGATAAAAGCCATTCCAGAGCATTCCGGACTGCTCCCAGAGCGTTCTGGATCGCTCCGAGAAGGCCGCGGCGCCCGATACATTTTCCAGAGCGGCCTGATCTTAGAGATTCTCGATTTTCTGGTTGACCCAAGAGGGGGTCCAGCGAAAATAGGATTTTGATCTGGTGCAGTAGATTTGTGGGGTTACACTAGATCTGGGGCGCGCAAAACATTCTGGTGCGCAAATATATTGCTGGTATTTTCCGCATGCAACGCATTCGTTGCAATACAACGCCGTACATCTCGCTGGCGCCATACATGTGCAATACACTTCTCCCAAATCTATGGCACCACCCCCTCTCAGTTGGACCCCCTGTGAGGTCAGCCAAAGATTGATCCTCGCCCGACTCCCTTGGCCCCTCTGGGCCCTTCTGCCTCCTCCCCGCGCGCCAGAAGGCGCCAGGCGCGCCAAAGGCGCTCCGACCCCCGTCGCGGCGCAACGACGAGGCGAGATTGACACCCGTCTGAGGGGTACCCCCCACGCTGATTATAACCAGACGTGTTCGCGCCATGAAAAAAAAACAGTCGTGGGCGTGGCGTTTCCTTTCACGCTGCCGCGTGCTGTTGGCGTATACGACGTCCCGAACCAACCTCGTTGGCGTCGACCAGAGACGAGAGATCTCCCAACTCCTCGTGGGCTTCTGCACAGTTGGCTCGAACCGTCAGTGGGCGTAGCCCAGCGGAAACTACCGAACGCTCATTTTGCAATGGGGCCAGCGACCCCGGTGAGGTTGTTTGACCTCACGCGCGGCTTGCCGCAGCGGATAGAGGGCCAGTTCCGACGCACTTGGGGCATCGCGCCGGCCTTGTGGAATCTATATTTTCGAGAGCGTGTCAATCTCGGAGCAAGCCTGAGCATCAAGCGAGGGGAACGGCTGCAAGGCCAAAGCGCCGAGAGCATGGAGACCGACGCTGCCATAGCCGCTGCGGATTTATTGCAGAAGCTCGAGAAGGGTTACTACACGTTACCCGATGGCAGACGCCGCAAGATCAACAATGATGCCAGTGAGCTGATTCTATAGGCTTACGCCACATCCGCCGACCTCTCATCTTGGCGGTTTGCTGGCTCGCTTGAATCTGGCTGGGGAGTCGTGTAGGGGTCCATAATGACCTCTCTTGGGGCTATGTGGAATCCGCTTGGGGTCATCTCGAGGCCCCGGGGGGGCCATCGGATAAGAAAAGACGCGAATGCAATCTTGGCATCGTTCTGGAGATGCCCAAAGGGTGGAAGCGTTGGGTTGGGGCCCGTATATTTCTTGCTGGGGGCCGTTTCGAGGTCGTTTTGGGGCCTCTTGGGGGCCTCTTGGGGCCTCTTGTGGGCGCCCTGGGGGCCTCTTGGGGCCTCTTGGGGCCTTTTGGGGCCGTCTTGGGGCGGAAGGCGCGGATTGTCGGTTCGGGCTCACCCTCTTGGGCACCTCTTGGGGCCGTCTTGGGGCCCTCTTGGGCTGGCTTGGGGGCCTCTTGGGCCGTCTTGGCGCCCTCTTTGGCCGCCTTGGGCGCCTCTTGGGAGCCTCTCGGGGCGGTCTGGGGGTGCTCTGGGGCCGTCTTCAACGCCGTGAAGGCGGACAAGTAGTATATGATCAAAGTGTGCGTTGTCCCAGAGGAATTTGACGATTTTCGGCGCTTCGGTTCTTCTGAAGACTGCTCTTGGAGGCCTCTTGGGCCGTCTTGGAGGCCTCTAGGCTCGTCCTGGGGCCATCTTGGGCGTCTGGGAGCGCTCGTCTGGCGCCTCGGAGCTCTCGTGAGCCGTCTTGGAGGAGTCTTGGGGCCTTCTTGGCCCGTCTTGATCCCCTTTTGGGCCCACAAGAGCCCCGTGACGCGCTCGTCGCGGGCCCGGGGGGAGGGGTCGAATCTCCGGCTCGGGGCCCCGGGGGGGGGGGGTGGTTCGGGGGGGGGAATTATCTCACACGCCTAGAGACCCACAAGGAGTCGGCGGATTTTTGCAGTCGGCCTCGGCAACCTGCAGCGGCGACTCTTGGCTGACTTCCGCTTTCGATGCCGCGCCATTCCGGGCGCGCAGGAGATTCGGACGAAGATTGGGCACCTGGGGATCTGGGCTTGCGCCAACTACAGGAATGGCATATTCTGTAATATTTCCCCGGGAGAACGGCATAATTATCTAGCGCTCAGGCTCAGCAGATACCGCCAGGACGATCCTTTCGTTGCAGGCGAGAGCAGGAGGCAGAAGTGGGCAAAGAGCGATTCGCCGAGCCTGGAGCCGTCGCCAGAGGACGCGTTTGAGGTGAACATTCCTGGATATGACACGCGTCGCTTGTTCCTCGCAGAGGACCCCTTGGCCGCCTCCAACGCATTCTTCGTGCAGATCCGCACGGTCTTGGCGACGATGCTCGGAGTGCGCATGTGCCCTCGCTGTCCGCAGTGCTCTGAATCTGGATCGCCGTGCCAGGACGCCCTCGGCAGCAACGCTGAAGCCATGGGAGGCATTGCAGGGCGCGTGGACGCTTTGTTCGGCGCCGTGGAGGCTCAGAAAACGACAGGGGGGCTGCATTATCATTTTTTCATGTTCGTTCAGCGCCTGCACCAGTTCGCCACGCTGAAGGAGATCGCCCAGAAAATCGAGGAAGGTCTCGTGAATGCGACGGAGCTGAAGCATTTCCTCGGGCAAATCTGCTGTGAGAGATTTCCCGACGTGGATCAATTTGCTAGAGAGAGAACTTCGCTGGAGCAGAACTTCCCGACATACTCGGAGTCGTCCGAATGCTCTGGATCGCCAGCATGGGGGGAGTTCAAATTGGGCCGAATGCCTCGGTTCTTGTATGATGACGCGAGAGCCGGTGTGGGCTCGTCCGCGCAGGGGGCTCCAGGGGAAGCTCAGAAGCTCGGCCTGAACTGCGACGACGCCACCTTCAAGGAGAAGTTCAACGGCGCTCTGCAGTATTTCATGTGTCGTTGCCAGCACCACACACATCGACTGGCGATGGATTCGAAGACCAAGCAGGAGAAGCGTTTCGTGCCCAACGCCTGCGCTTCCAAGAAGAACAAGAGAGAGCGCAAGCACGAGGCGCCGTGGACCAACAGAGTGCCCCCCGAGTGGATGACGGCGCCGCTGCTGGTTTGCAAGGGCATTGCCAAGAAGTTCACGCTGCGCACAAGCGGGGTCCGAAATTGGCTGGGGCAAACTCTCGGACTGCGCAATGAGGAGTGGCTGAACGGGTGCATGCCGGGCCTGTGCGTCGCTTTTGCAGGGGGCAACAGTGGCGTGAAACCGAATGACCGACTGCCGATCATCGAGCAAACGCATGAGACTTGCTGCAGGAAGAAACGCTGCATCATGAAGAAGCAGAGTCTGGGGAGAGCCACTCGAGCAACTCAGCGCACGCAGGTAGTGACGAGTGGATATTTCGGGGGATA